CCCCAAAACCCCAAAACCCCAAAACCCCAAAACCCCAGGAGGATCAGAAATATTGATATAAAAATTATATTAACAACATGTTGGTCAAGCTTAGCCCTAAGCATCCAAGTGGAAGTTACTCAAGAGCTGGTAAAGCATCCATGTGCTAATATTTAGGCAAAAGAATCCGAAATTTTACGATTAAGAACAAACCAAAAGTGGCAAAGAGTAAACCAATCTCTGAAGATGACTCTGAAACCAGTTTCCAAGATGACTATATCGGAATCCTGCAGGGGGATTATGATGCTAATGAGCAGAACCTTCAAGAGGAATTTGATCTGCATGAGACCAGAAAAGAACGTAGGAAGAGACTTAAAAGAGAAGAACTCAAGCATTGCAGCCCAGCTTTTAAATCAATTCCTAGAGACATACAGTTATCTCATAACCAAAGTCCTGATCTAGGAAAGTATTCCCCAAACTATGATGTCACGAAGCCTATCAGGGTAACCAATTTTGGCAAAGGCTCTGTTAGGAATACTGCAACCCACTTCTTCAAGGGCGAAGATAGGCGGAGTGAAGTGTGCGGTCGGCTGATGAGAAGCATGAAAAATAGAAAATCTAGAGTTGAAATTATTAATAAAATATTTCGTAAAAGGAAACCAGGCACATTGTGTATTTTTATCATTATAGATGGCTATAAGAATGACCCTAGGTTCTACAAATTCTCTGAGAAGCATATTAATGACGGATTAAAAAATATTTATGGCAAGCATAAGCCTAAAGGTAAGCTGATGTTTCATAAATTTATCAGATGAGAGGAATACAATAGATGAACTCACAAAACAAGGTATACTTGACCTTCACACTAACAATGACTATGCAAACAATGCTTTCAAGATGAAGCAGATGAAGAGGCTGACAACTCAGAGCTTCGAACTCTTATCACCAATGAAAATAGGGAGAAAGACAAAAGGAGGTGATTTAACCACAAAGTAAGCCATTCATCTTACCATTATCAACTTTAGAGCTCCAAATTGATCAAATTTATTGAGTCAAAATATGAGGATCAGGAACCCTGCCAGCGCATCAATAAATTTCTATGAAAAGGAGAACCAAAAATCATTAGAGAGTGCAAATCTAAAACGCTCTTTCCAAAAATCTAATAATTCTATCAAGAAGCATCATCAAAGTGGTATGTTTTAGGCTTATTATTCATTTTCAGATAAAAAGAAGAAAAATAAAAGTCCAAAAAAATTGACGTTGAAAAAGGGCATAAGAGTGTGTTCACAGGGTAATCACTATTAATTCTACTTGCTAACAACCTTAGTATCAAGAGACCATGTCCAGAGCGTGATGATGGCAAAGCAGTCTATGAGAGACACAAATTCGTTCCTTGAGATACCGTAAATATTGCCACTTAATTCTAGGACTTACTGTGCCAACGATTATAATGTGAAATTAGACACGGTCATGGGGAAACTAAATAAAGGGATGATTAACTTCAAGAAACAGACAAAGAGAGGAGACTATCACTCTTTTTACAAGAGATCTTCAGCTCCTGAGCAGTACAACTGAGAGTCTATATCCAGCGCATATGACAAGATAGGGTATATCGGAAGCAATGTGGCTAAGGCTAAGCTAACTTTTGGATAATTTCCTTTGATTCCATATTAAGTTTTAAAAGGGGTTTTGGGGTTTTGGGGTTTTGGGG